CCACAGGCTGATCCAGCTTTTGTTCTGCTCCTCCCTTCTCTAACACACACATCCATCTGCTTCTCCACAGCTGCACCACGGAGCAGGAGAGGAAGCCTCTGTCCCGGTGAGGGGACCAACACGGGGTTCCAACAGAATTCCCTCATATTTCTTTCACAGGGAACTAAACACAAACTTCAGAACCAGCCCAACCCAGCACAGAAAGAGTGGGAAGGATGGAAGAGGCAAGGTGGCAGCTCCTCATGCCCACCACTACTGGCAGAAAGAACAGAACCAAGGGAGAGCAGGAAGGGAATGGGCAATTAATGCATTCCTTGCACATCAGTGAGATTCCCCAGGCCCCGCTGCAGCCCAAATGGGCCAAAAAAGAGCAATGCAGAAGATTAGTTGCTTTGTTTCAATTCTTAAGTGGGAGGGAGGTTAATACTAAATTTGAGGAGGATCCAAGTGGTGCTTTGAAGGGGCTTCAGAGTTTCACTGTCTGTACCTGGGAGGAAGGGAAACAAAGAACATAAAAAGAGTAAGCGGTAACTAGAAAGCAGCACAGAAGACAGATAAAGACATGCTTCAAACTGATGTCTAGACATAAAATAAAAAAAAAAAGGAAAAAAGTCCCTTTTCAAGCACTAGACCACATCCCAGTGAACCCTGTTCAAAATGCAGGAGAGCAGGCACCAGCACTGACTTAGATTTCAAAGTGGGTTGACAGCAAACGGTCTGTAAGTTCTATACAATGACAGTAAAAACACTCTCCAGATTGAGATCCGACATCGTTTCATGGCATTACAACCATCAGTTAAGGCTGACACCACACTTCATTAATGACAAAGCTGACTTCAACAACTTCCACCTTCCCATTCCAAACAGGATTTTCTCAAAATTCACATCTGCCTCTGCTCTCTAGATTAAGTGGGAAAACCCATTTCCAACCAACACTTCAAAATAATGCAAGACTGGGAGAATGAAAAAAATAATCGTACGGCTAAGAGGCAACCGTGCAGTGGAAGATGAGGAGAGAAAAAACCAACCAAACTTGTTAAGACTTACAAGAGCGTGTAGGTAGATCTGGGGGTGGCCACGCCGCACCCCCCCACAAAGTCTGCTCTGGGTTCACCAGTCATACCGACGGGACTGTCTGGAGGGAGAATCCTCAGGGCCCTGGATCGCAAGACGAGTCCCTTCGGCCCGGCGGCCACTGCTGCCTTCATGACGCCGGTACTCCAGCCCCCGCTGCGGCCGGAAACGGGACGTCTCTCGCCTCCACTCATCATCAAACGCAGCGGCATCACCTACGTCAGGAACGAACAAGCTCATCAGATGGGGAGGAGGTGGGGAAGCGGCACCTGGGTTTGCTGGGAGGAGGACACGGGCAGTACTCACTTTCATCCATGTTGATGTAGTCCTGCCTCTCCTCCTGGTCGCCTGTACGATGGTTCCGGGACCGCTGCATGATGTGGGCTCGCTCCCTGATGTGGTGGCCAATCGACATTTGTTCCAAGCCACTGTCTGAGTCCCTCACGGTCCGTCTGGTCTCACGGATCTGGGGGCAGAGTCCCGTGTAGGATCAACATTTGCATTCGTTCTCCCAGCCCCATAAGGCACTCTGATTCTCGCCTGCAGTATTTCAGACACGCTGCACTGCCGCCACTCCCAGGATGTCAGACCCAACATAATGACGAGGGAAAAATGGATTCCCCCACTGCCAGCACTTCCCATCCCCTCCCGGTGGCCCTCAGCATGGTTCAGTGAGTCACAACGCGCTCCTCCAACTGCAACCCACTGCGAAGCAGAAGTGCTGTGGGTGGCCAACACTGAGCCACCAAACAAAGCCTACCCACCCACAGCACAACCAGCAGCCCCGTGCTGGGAAGACGCACTGCAGGCTCCTCCTTACCCCGCCAGGTGCTGAACGCATCTCTGAGGTCTCTTGATAGACTTTGGGCCCATCACCCAGGTTGGAATAGGAGATGACAGTTGAGGAGGTAAATGTCTGGCAGTTAGCACCACTTGTCATATGCTCCTGCAGGAAGAAATGGGGAATGGGAGGGAAGGAGAGAGGGCAGTCAATTCTCTCTCTATACAACAAATGAGGAAGAAATTACAGTAGGAAGAATGCAATCCCCATGGGTCCATTTTTCTGGAGAATACATCTTCCTATTAAATTTATTCTTGTTTCTTGCTAAAGTCTATCCCCACACTTCCTTCCTCACCCAGCTCTCCTCCCTGCACTCAGGAACAAGCTTGCTATCACTCCATCCTGGTCACAAAGCAAGGCTTACAGCCTCTGCCACCCCGGCAGCTTGAGCAGAGCCCAAACCAAAGAAGCACAAATAAGATGGGAGACATGAGAGGGGATGGCAGGAGCACCCTTGGTACTCCCCTTGATACAGACTGGCTTATGGAGGGTTCTTACCATGTTTCCAATCATGTCGTTCATCATTCCAAACATATCTATAAAGCCACCTGCCTGATAAAAAGGAAAAGAAAATGTAACAACAGTCAGTTTGGAAAGATACAGGAGAAAAGAACAACAGACTCTCTCCAAGGGACAAGAAACTGCTGCCTAAGCATTAATAACTTTTTATTTTCCCCTTCTTTCAGTAGGGCAGAAAACCAGCAGGATTTGGGGGTGCTATTCCCTCCACTCTCTCAGGTTGCACTGCCCAAGTGTTCTGGCTCTCCAGATCTCTGGATACAGCAAAGCATGTTCTTTTAGTTCGGGTCTGACTCCCAGTGCGCTGGGTTTGTGGGTCCAGGCACTCAGCAAAGCTAAGAGAAGAAATCTCAGGTATGCACTTACAGTGATCTTAACCATAAGACACTCATCCTCGATGATGTTTTCACCTCATCACTGTCATCTCTTCGTTTAAACCACAAGGAAGTTTCCACTGATTGTATTACTTTTAACATAATAACAAGTTTTCTTATTTTCTCTACAAACACCTGTCTTTTTAATCTTGCAAACCTAAAGGCTGCAGTAATACACCGGGCCAGCAGGTCTCACAGGTTAATTGTGCAATATGTAAACACAACTGCTATGTCAGTTCCAACTTGATTTTTTTGTTTCCTCGAGTAGGCTCTGGTTGGTTTTCAGCAGAGCAGTACTCACACGCAATGTTATTATCCTTTGAAGTCTATCCGTTTCTATTCTTATTAATCCTTCTCTGAGCTACAAAAATTCCAGGACGCTTAGTCTCTCTGACTGGGGCAATCCTGCAGAGCGAGGCAGCTCAAGTTGCTGGATCTGGAATAACCTATTTCCACTGTATTATTGGAGTAGATGATGGAGATCAGCACGCTCCAAGCATGGTGTTCTCACATACACACAGTCATTCTCATTCCAGTCCTGTTCACATGAAGCACTCACTTGGCTTTTCCATCTGCCACCACTGGCAAAGGAGGTTCAATAATCACCTCTGCCTAACGACAGGCAAGTCTTTTCCTCGTGTTGTCACAGTTCCTCCATTACATCTGAACAAACCCACAGCTCCTTTTCAGAAGTATGAGGTTATTAAGAGACTATCTGCTCTTCCTGGATATTAACTGTCCCAATTCCTATGAAATATTGTGCTATAATAGCTTTAGAGTTCTCCTCTGGTCAAGGTGCAAATATAACTTCCCCATCTAAACAGAGTTAGAATCTCTCCTCTCAAACAGCTCACAGACTAGATTAAGACATGAGAGGGGAAACAAGGGAAAGGCCTGAAGTCATATAGCAACTCAGTGAGAGAGGTCCAAGAGAAAGCAGCTGCCTCCAGTTTCAGTTCAATACCCTCTTCCTTATTCTGTTTACTATAAATCCAGAGCTGGTTCTGGTCTCTTCACACCTTCTCAGCTGCACTGCCCATTAGGACAGATGGTTTTGCTCACAGATGGCTACAGTTTAGCACTGGCTGCACACAACGCTGATGAATCTCAGTGTGGAGCCACTACTTGGAAAGCCTCTAATCTGACCCAGGAAAAAGAGAGAACTTACCATGCCGAGCATCCCAAAGGGTGACACAGCTCCTGCCTGCCAGGGTAACAGAAAAACAGAACAGAGGATGACCTTGGAACATGAGACCCTCCTCAGAACACCCACATGCCTCTCGGAAACAGAACTGGGAACACTCAGGCCCAATAAACAGGCCAAGAAATTGCCCCACAGAGTCATGGCAGCTCAAACCACATCACCCCAAGAAACCAGACAGAAGGTGATGCTCCCAAATTTCTCGCAGTTATATTGATTTATGTCCTTGAGAAATATCATGTATTTCCTCCCTTCCTCCCGTTCAACCTAGAATGCAGTTGTGTTCAATGCCTTAATGCACATGGAGGACAAGAAGGGCACTGTTTTAGAGATTAGTTCTGCCCCCACCATCCGTGTGAAGGCGAGGGGCGAGCCCAACCGGATAAGGATGGAAGCCAGAAGCTAATGAGGCAGCTCAGGAAACCCTGCCCTGTACTCAGCCCCTCTTTTACCTGCATCCTGCGCCCAGCCTGGCGAGCCCCAGGTGTGGTCCCATCAGTGATGCCGAGGAGCGGGCCGAACCCAAAGCTTCCAGAAAGCATGCGGTTCATGTGCTGCCGGTGGATCGCAAAAGGGTCCCTTCAGAAAGTTGGGGAGAACAACGGTGAGGAAGGGAAGACAAAACCCCACACAATCTACCCATTCCAACTTTCAGTTTCTCTTGTAACCGTACATTCATTTCCAGGCTGAAAATCCAGAACCCCGAGAACTCAGTGTTGCTTATGGTGATCCTTGGGGCTGGAAGGGACCTCTGATCCCATCTTATTTCTTGTAACAGAAGGCATTACACCACAGAACCCTCTCAGTCACTAACTGATGTCTGTTCAGAAGGAGCTGGGTGTTCTGCTCCCACTAACACTTTAGGGCCAAGCCTGGCAGAGGCCATCCCAGAACCTCCCTGCTCTAACAGATGAAAGCCATTTCTCAGACCTGCAGTCCACGCACCACCATCATTTCATACTCATTTCCTCTTGTGCCATCAAACCCCTTTATGTTAACAGCTCTGTGAAACAATCAAACCCTTCTAGAAGGGCAGTTCATCATTTCACAGGGAGGTGCGCCAAGACCCTCCTGACTGCAAAAACACTACACTTAATGGGACCAGAGAGCATGTGATCCTAGATACTGTCCCCTCATATGCACAAACACACTCAAATGCAAGACTGAAACCCCCAGAACAGACTGCACAGCCTGACACTGTCACATCTCTGCCCCAAGTCATCTGCACCTGCTCTTTTCCCACAATGCTACGTGTGCACCTATCAAAAGGCCGAGACCATACACAGCTTTGGCAGATTTGAGAGGGAAAAGGAACAGTAACTGAGGTCCCTAACTGGTTTTCCTCCCTTCCCTTTTTTTGCAGCCCCCACTTGCAGGGCTGCATGCATTCACACACGTGGGAGGAGCATGCAGAAAAAAAGGAGAATAGGGACAAACGATCACAGAAGACAGTGGTCACAGTAAAACAAGTCTGGGAAATACCACAGCATTACTCTGCACATCTTAGAGTCTGCACTTATCCCTCCTGAGTGTGAGTAACCTCGGCAGCATGTAACATTCCTGAGATCACAAAAGCACCTACTACAAACCAATACTTTTTTGTCTCTACTGGCAATGCTTTGCATAATAAAAGCTCAGCTCATACCTGCCACATCAATGAGAACGCAGCGTCATTCTGTGACTAACTGGGACATCAAGGTCTCCTCTCCTGCTAATTTGCTTACAGCTGATAAAATTCTTACCTATTATCAATTTTGTAAGCAAAAGCCAGACTTTATTCTTCTACATAAATTAATTCCACCAAATTTCTAGCAGTGCTATGCTTGACATAATCAAATTCTTACAGTAGTAGGGTCTGTTTCTTATCTGCTTTGGCAAGGACTGCCAATTTAGTTTCACTGCCAAAATTTATCAGTAGCATCCAGTTTCTGGACTGTGGGCAGATACGAAATCATTCAGTAAAAGGAACCCCAGGAAGAGTTCTTGGGACCTTTGTTAGTTTTCAAGACTCGTATTTCAGAACTACTTTTTGTCTTCTCTCTACTTAGTTCCTTACAACTTGACAACTCCTTTAGCAGCCTTCTTCAGCTCGGTTAACGATTTCCTGTGTGGAACAGCAACAAACACTGGACAGAACAGTCAGTTTTACCTATCTTTTGAAATCCTATCTATGACATCCTACTTTGCGTAAGAAAGAACAAAAAAATCCTTAAGCAAAGAAGATGAGGTATTCCAGCCCTCTCTTCCTCAGACAGTTGCCATATCTTTTCATAGAATCACAGAATGGTTTGGGTCAGAAGGGACCTTAAAGATCATCCAGTTCCAACCCCCCTGCCATCAGCAGGGACACCTTCCACTAGACCAGGTTGCTCAAAGCCTCATCCAACCTGGCCT